GTTTGGCTTGAGGTATGAAGTCCAAGCCCTTGAGTCTCTCTTTGTCATCCTTTTGTACTGCAAGCTGTGCTGCTGTGAATGGGGATGGTTACTGCAATAGTGTGTCACAGAGTTGCATTTTACATCAGTCTGTTAATATTTGTCCAATAATGGTGTTTTCATGTTAATTTTGGCAATAGTCTACCAAAAATATGGATTGCCTAAGGGAAGGAACTTGAAGCTGGTGAGATTTGGTCTTGTTTTTTTTGTAATGTTTGAAAGTTTCTAGATAGGTTGACATAATTTATAATAACATGGCAAAGAGACCGGTGGTGGTAATGTAGCATGTCATGTCATCACCAGGCCTCTGTAGTGCGTATGATCTTAGGGCTACTGTGTTCTGAGGACTAGAAATGTCTTCCGAAGACAGAAAGTTTGAAACGATAAACTTTAGGAGAGTCTTAAATTTGAAGGCTTTTGTTTGTTTCTGCATTCTGCTTCTCTACACAGTGACTCTAAGCATATACTTGAAATCAAATCAGTTATTCCTTTAGAGGAAGCAAAATACTTTCTGAAAAACCATTCTTGCATGTATGTAGTTCCCTCATTTCCAAATTTAATGTATTCTCAATTGGAGGAATTTTGTCCTTTCCACTACCAGCTCATCTCAGGAAAATACAGGTTGTTACTTCACCAGAGAACACCATTTAATGAAGTTCTAGAGGAAACCTCACCAGAGAAGCCAGAAGCCCTTCCCTGAGACACAGCGCTGTGATTCCAAAGCGAGATCAGCAGCACGAGGAGCAGTGATGCCCTGTCCACCTGCCTGGCTCATGGGCTGCCACTCGGGGGACCGTGCTCCTCAACCTCCAGTGTTGGAACAGCCCTTGGTCTGCGTGATGGGCAGTGGCTTCCAGCCTGCTCCACTTCTGCCCTTGTTTTGAAAGGAATCGGTATCTTTTTATTTTCCTCTGGTTTGGAATTAAGGACAATTCTTCCTTTCATCCACAGTTCTCCAGTCTTGGGTAAAGTAAGAGGCTGATTTCATTTGCTGTGGCTTTTTTCTCCCTCCTCCTTTGCTGCTGATGAGTTGTAAGAAAACATTGCAGTAATGACTGGGGAAGGAGGAGGCTGCTGTGCCAGTCCCCAGCTCCCTACTGGTGCTGGAGCCGAGCCACTCTGCTCCCAGGAAGGCAGCAACAAGGGAATGACAGCGCTGGAGTCAGCAGCTGTGGGAGAAGGGGAGGCGCCTCCTTCCTCCCGCTTTGGAGCACAGGGAAGAGGCTCTGCAGCTGTGGAGCTTCTATGGGCCAGCAGCCGGCAAGGCAATTTTTCTGCTGGCGTGGGACCTAATTGTCTGTAAATGTGCATTTCTCACTCCTCAAACTTGAAACCAATCAGAGAGAATTAAACCAAATTTAATAAAATACTACTAATAAAGAGGAAAATCCCTCCCAGGCTCAGTCCTCTTTTGACAAATAACTGCCAGCTGCAAATTTTTACAGCCCACTTGTCAGCTCCTGAATAAACAGAGTTTATATTAGCAATACTGACAAACTCTTCTGTCTGTGGAAGCTGAGCTAGCAGGTGCTGCTGTAATCAAGGTGTCGAAGTCCATGAACAGTTTGTATTCAGCAGAAGAAAGGCTGGATGTAAATGATTACATACAAATATAAGGAATTATGGTGGGAAGGTGAAAAATGTGGCTTGTCTCTGTTTTCGTGCATTTTTTTTCCTACCAGGTGCATTCATGTAACCCTTTCACTGTCTGTCTGCAGGCAATAAAGTGATATTCACCATAGTCTTCAAAAGGGTTTCCTTTCTCTTTAAAGGTACTTTGGCATTGCAGCATTTTGCTCGTAGCAGCAGCAGCCGTGAGGAACAGAGAACATCTATAAATTTAAGTGTGCTAGGGACATGAGGCAGCAAAAAGTTTTTGTTCAGTATCCTGATCTCAGTTTAAGTTCCTCATCATCTGAAAATGAAAGAGTTTTAAGTTTTTGAAAGATTATTATGCTGTTGCCATTAATTGCAGCTGACTGCATTATTGACTCATTTATATGACAATACTGACAAGTCAGGAGAGGAATAGCTGCAGACCCTGACATCTCTGGGAGAATTCTGAATCTCTGGCAGGATTTTTTAGCTTTAATGCTGGGATGTTACATGAAGTGTCACTTTATTCAAGATGTATTCTTTTCCATCTTTTGTAGACTAATCCTGTGCGGAGCTGAACACCCCTGCAGGCTGAACTGAGGCAGGTTTCTAGCAGAAAGGTCAGGATTTCTCAAAGCTGAATTAAGATGTTCAGGGTAGTTTATGGCTGTTGTTTTCCTCTCTTGTGTCTTAGCTGCTGCTCTCTTAGTTGTCAGTTAATGCTTTAAATTAACAAAGTGCTGGTGAAAAAAACAGAGCAGGCAGAAATAGTAGCTTTTTAGTGCCTGAATCATTTGCTCTTTTGAATATGTTTCACAGAGTGATATAGGAGCATCAACTAGGTCATTGCTAGCTACGGTCACACCATTCTCTCCTCTTGAATGCCATGTTTGTATCTTTGCAATCATTTAGTGCCAGCCTAAATATCTAGATCTCTGGAAACCTCATTTTTAGTGCTACATTGTTGGTGCAATCATGTTCTGTCTTTTGTGCCCAAGTGGAATTATGTTCCTAGCTACGTCCTTAGCCTTCGCCTGGGAACACAAGACTTTGATTCTGGGACTCTTGTCCAAGGAAGACAACATTGCTGCACTATGTAATAACTAATTGAGTATTATTGTCAATATTCCCTTGGACATTGCTTTAATTGATTTAATTACTGTTGTGCTCTTAGAACTATGATTTTTTTCAGTAAATTAATTCCTATTTTGTTGAGAAAATCAGCACTATATTCTTTGGTCTTGAGACTTGCACTGTTTATTTCTAGGACTTAAAAAAATTCTGAAATCACATCCAGCCACAAGCCCTTTTGGTGTTAGGCTCTGGGGAAGCAAACTGGGAAGGGCAGTGTTGTAGCAGGGGGATGCAGCAGATGGACATATTTTACAAGTTGGTTTTAGGGAAGTTGTCTCATCTTAAAGTGATTTTGTGCGTTATTTGTGGAGAAGAATTTGAAAGTACTATGTTGTGGTTATTTGGAAAACTGCGTTGAGTGAATTTGTAGAATAAGTGTGTGAAAATGACAGATTAAGAAGCATCTTTTAGAATAATGCTTCCTTTCTAAGTGAGACTATTTTTAAGCATATGGCGATTTGTATAATAAAGGCAGGGGAATTTCTTTAATCCATATGAGCCTCAGGAATGCATTTTACAATCTTAGCTGAGATTAAGTTGAAAGTCTGCTACGTTTTTGAAAGATAAGATTTTGTTTACCGGCTTCTGTTTTGTAGTTTTATTTTCATGCAGTTTTATTTATTTGCATTCCTTTTCTTTTGTTGCTACTTGAATTAAATATGTAATGTGGTCCAAAAATATTAATATATTTTGTGATCTTTAATAAAAACATGCATTTCCTGATACGCTTCTTTTATCTGCTTGTTTCCTTATTTTCTCAGTATCAGATGAATATTAGCTATGAGTTAGTGTTTCAGCATTTTCATTGACCTGTGTTAAATTGTGAGCACGCATTAGAAAAGTAAAGCTTTTGTGAGTGGGTTTTAAGTCTGTTAAAAATTATCTGACTTAAGTGTTTCCTCTGTCACTTTTCCTGGTCTAACTTGCTTCCATTTTTGTGTGAACAATCCCACTGTGTGTTTTAGCTTTGAAAATACAACTTATCTCTGATTTGCTAACTTTATCATCGTGTAAGCAGTATTAAAACTTGTATATGTAATCAAGTTACTAAACGTCATAAACCAGGGGTGTTAGGGAGTGTTTGAGGGGTAGTGAGTGTGTGGGCAATAAACGGGGTCGGTTCTTACCAGTCTGCTCCCCTCAGTGTGTGTTGTGACTCAGCTGTAGCCCTGTGGGCAACCTAAACCAGTGAAGTTACCAGTTAATGTATGCTTGTTTGAGAACAAACCCTGCAAACACAAGAAGATCTAAACTTTAAAACAGAAATGTCTGCACTTCCCCTGCATTTGAGCGGATGTCCAGGTTGGACAACATGCTCTTCACAGTTGTTGAAAGCATAGAGATCTTTTTAGCTTTCAGATTTGTAGCTAAGTACCAGATCGCGTCTAACCAGAAGCAGTTTCATTATTTACTGATGTCTTTTAGCCTTTGTTACCTCAGCTTACAGTGTCCTAGCGCTACTGACGGGGGGGACAGGGTCTTTGCAGGATTTATCAGCCCTCTCTGTCAGCACTCTTAATTATATGCATTCAGCCTCCAAACTTCATAAAAGAGAATCCTACATCTTCAAGAAAATGCACCACAATGTTGAGTTGATGCTGGTTTTATTGATCTGCTTACAGAAAGGACATGCTCTACAAAGTGATACACATTTCTTAAAGAAGCAGCCAAAGGGAGACGGGAATCCTTCTGCTGTGTATTTGGGCAGCCAGTGGCAGAGCTGCGGGTGCTTTGTGCTGCCCGGGCAGTGCTGGGCTTGGGGAGCATCAGTTGAGCCTGGTCCTCATTGAGCTTCTCTTCTTCTTGTCTGCAACCTCAGGCAGCTTCTCGTCCCACAGGCTCTTGTTGCACATCCCAATCACGCAGCAAGCAAGACGCTTGCCTGCATTCCCGTTTTCCAAACTGGCCTTGTTGTTGCCTTTGCCCATGTCATCTTCCTGCTCGTGAATCACTACGGATCTGCCCAGGATGGAATATGGGCCAAACATCGTGGCAAAGAGGTTTGGCTTGTATTTCCTGATCTTGCCTTCTTTAGGAAAGAAGTTGCCAAAGTCCCCTGGGTGGCGAGGGTGATTCACACCGAAAGGGTTATAGTGGCCTCCTGTGGAGTCACAGCCATCACTGAGATCTCCAAGCTGGTGGATGTGTATAGCTCTGCCAGACTCGTTGTTCCCGAGTGGAAACCCATCCAGGGCAAAAATTGCTTCTAATCTTCCATGCGAGTAATGCTGCTTGAACAAAACTTGTCCAGTCACTTGTGGCTTGTCAGCATCTATTTTGGGGCTGGGCAGCATTTCACAGGTGGCATAAATCATCCCATCAGTCTCCTTATTAACCATCACTGGGTAGAGCAAGCTCTGCCAGAGGTCGTTCACTTTCCTCTGTATGTCCTGAAGTGGTTCTGAATTCGGATCAGGGTCTGTCACATCAGAGGCAGAAAGGGCAAGTCCAGCAACCAGAGAAAGAAGCAGAAGCATCTCAGCCATCCAGAGCCTGCAAAACGAACAAGAAGCCACGAGAATTAAAGGCTGTTTGCAGCAGTGTGCGTGGAGAGAAAGGCACAGCCTGTCCTGGTGCCGAGCGAGCCCCAGGACACTGCTTCCCCCGGAGCCTGCCCACCCTGACGAGTCACAAGTGAACCAGGATGCATACGCACTTTTAAAAACATACCGCCAACAACCATGACTAAAAACATACTGGTGACTTCATATTTCACACCAGAGCTTGGTCTGGAAAAAATGCTGCTTTTTTCCTGCAGAAATGAAGTACTCTGGACTGACGTTTAATCAATTCTTGGGTTTGTACCGAGAGTTTTCTCCTGCTCCAGTTCCCGTAAGACAGTTTGCCAGGAGCAGACTTCGCCAGGTTTTGGTCCATGTCTGGAAATGTTAGTTAGTTCTTACAATTGCAAACAAAAAGTCAAGCAGTCAGTTACCTCTCCGAGCTGCTCCGGAGCCTCTCCCTCTTCAGTAGCTCCTTGTCCCTGCTGCTGTGCGGTGGGATGTGCTGCCTGTTGTGCAGGAATTAGGTAAGAGCCGCTTGGGGAGGGGTCACCGCGCGGCCGGGGAGGGAGGGGAGCGTCCTGTCGACGTTCTCCTTTTGGGCAGGGTAAACAGCTTGGCCTCTCCCCGCTACGCACTGCCCGCAGCCCTCTCTGGCGCTCCCAAAAACAGAAAGGAAAAAAATGTTCAAGTTCTTAAAATAATCTTCCTCTTCATGACTTCATGTGCTTATCTAAACTGAG